TGGCTAATATAGTTGACTGCCTAGTTCCCTAAGCAATCTGCACATTCTTTCTGTGCCCTTTACTGAATCTTTGTGGATTAAGAAAGGCTGGTTAATCTGTAGCGTATGTGTTCTATAATGACGGCTGGTGCATGCAGACATTGCTCTGAAAGCCGTGCAAGCCAGGAATGGACCGCAGGGGCTTTGCAAATCCCCACAAAGAGCCGTGCACTGATTTTTCAAGCTGCAGAATAATTTCTCAAACAAAACACAGCTGAAGTGCCAAATACAGACTCTCCCCAAGCTGGCCATTACATATGGGTAGTGTCTTCCTAACCAGTTAACTGCTGTGGCTGGGGAAAGCACTGTATCTGTAGGAACACTGAGATTGTTTTGACCCTGACTATATGAGATAATGCTGAGGATAGCAAGGGTTGAAATCATTAACTGTGCTCAAATTGTGCTCATAATGTGCTCAAACTGAGCATATTAATTATGCTCAGAATGCAAGAAAGATTAAAGGAGGGATGCAAAGTTGACCAAATGCTGCAGCTACAGGTCAGCTATTCCTGTCTCATTCTGCCTAAGAGCTCGTAACTGCCTCAGGGTACTGTTCTCACAGTCATGTCCCAGCTCCTGGTTGCCTTCACTGTGAATTCACTAGTTACTGGCTGAGATGGTGAACACATATATATTGATCTGTGCAAATGCAGCAGCTATTTTTCTGAAAAGTCCATCTTTTTGGTATTGCATTAAGATAGGAAGCCAAAACACAATCAAAAAACTCAGTGCAGCGTGCCAGTAACACTGTGTTTGCTACATCCTCCAGCAGGGAGCAATACAAAATCCTATATGCTGTGAGAGGGGCCCATCCACCACAGGTGCACCTTTCTTGTGTGAGATACAGTGTCTGTAAGACTGTGCTTGGTGGGCATCTGGGCCACCATGGAGAGGACTTGGAAGCAAGATAGCATTTGGAGTAGAGGAGCAGGATAGCACAGGGGAATAATATTGCTTGTAGGAAATATATGGGGAGGAAGGGCCTCCTAAAGGAGCACAAAGGCACATGGATAGCAATAGGCTATTTGGTTTAGACGAAATGAGGACCTAGGCCAGGATACATGGTGCACTGCTGTAACAGGGCAGTGCTGAATTCCTCTCAACATTTTCTCTTCCATTTCCCAGCTGTGCCATCACAAGTGATGACAGGTAAATCTAAGGCTCAGTCCCTCGTGACCAGCTACACACTACAGGAACTGTTACTACTTATTTAAGTTGCTGCATGCCTGATGCTTTCTGGCTTCTCGGTGTGTGCGCTGGGTGTGTTAGGGCCACAGCAATCCATGGAAGAAGCTGGAGGCCCTGGGACTCCAGCACTAACTTCTGAAATGAGTAATTTAACTTAAACTAGGATATTGCTGGTGTATCAATTTTATCAAACTTGTTCTCTGGAGCATGTCTTGAAATCTGTAATGCTTCTTTTAGATAAACCATTGATTAATGTCTCATTTGCACAAAGCCATAGTGCCTTTCTACTTTCTTGGTTAGTACATTAATCAGGACGAAGCCCATGTTCTTTGCTACTACCTAAGTTAGCCTCTGACAGAGATTTAAGGGATATTTCATCCAGTTAAATGGGCATGATTGAACCTGCCATTTTCAGTCTTTGAGCTTAGCTCTGAAGTAAAGTGCAACTGAAAAATATATACAGAAACTGAAATCATAAGGGCTTTGCAACATCTAGCTTTAAAGAAGTTTCATGATTATTGTAAACAGAACAACCTGGTAGGAGAAATTTTTTTCTTCTCTTTTCAGATTTCTTTAATGAAGGATTTATGATCACAGACTCATAGAATAGTTTGGGTTGGAAGGGACCTTTAAAGGTCATCTAGTCCAACCCCCCCGCAATGAGCAGGGACATCTTCAACTAGATCAGGTTGCTCAGAGCCCCATCCAACCTGACCTGGAATGTTTCCAGGGA